ACCCCTCCTCAAGCTAGCCATACAGTATATACCAACAGTTGTCCCTCTCCTAACATGTGTAAGACTTTCTCATTAACTCGGAGATGGACTTATAAATTAGTAGTTCCAAAACAACAAACAACTGAGTGGAATGTGCCATTCAGTAGAGAGGGAAAAGGCTGGCTTTAAAGCCAAGCTTTCACATCAGTATTGGCTGTTAGATTATGGGCAAGATAACATAAGTTCTGTATACCTCAACTGATGCTTCTGCAAAATGAGGACAATAAAATCCAAGTCATATAGAATTTGTGGGGATTAGATGAGTAAACATATACAAAAACTACCCAGCGCAATGCACATCTGATGTATCATAAACAGTAAATAAGTGGTTTTCATTGTAGTTGTTGCTATCTTAATACTTTCAAGATAATATCAGCACAATAAATTTATTTTCCTGAAGAAATATTTATTAATTTAAATATATATGTTAATCGCAAAAGTGTATTCACTACAAAGGTCTAAAAAAATACAAATATGTACAAAATTAAAAAAAACAAAAAAATGTGACAATGAGTATGTATATGTCCATAAATGACTGAAAAATTGTGCTGAACACTGGAATTTGACACAACATTGTAAAATGATTATAAATCAATAAAAAATGTTAAAAAAAAAACAAAACCAGATCACTCCCCAGTCACATTTCTCAGAGGTAACCCTAGTCCTTAAAGACATCTTTCTTTGCATATGCATATAGATTTCATATTAACAGAAGTAGGAATACAATACATTTATTTTCTATGATTTGACTTTTTCCTTATCTATTTACATCTTCATTTAATAGTATGGTATTCTATGACATGGCTATACCCAGAGGTGGGTTAGTAAATTTTAAAAACTGGTTCTCCAGAAAAATGGATCCTAAGTTATACCATTTTCCTTTTTCTATGTTGTAAATACTCCCATAGCTGAATTCAGGCAACAAATGTTGACATCACTGAATGTGGTATTACGAAGAAATGCTCATAATCACCTCTTGCAAAGAAGTGTGACAGGATTCCAGCACACCACTGGTGGTGCCATCATGGTTTTAAAAAAGTGATGTTTTTGTAAGCAAATTGTAAACAAATACAGAGATATCATCTTAGGATGAACCAAAATGATTATAGTGTGGAATAGTAAAAGAGGAATTGTATTTGAAAATCGAAGCAAGTACATAAATAACAAGACTACATTTTCTCGAAACAATTTTTATAAAATGGTCTAAGAAGTATAAAGTATAAAAATCTTATGGTTCATAAAAGCACATTAAAAATACAATATCAACATAATTTTATGAATAACTGAAAGATACACATTTTGATAAAGACTCACACATGCATTTAGATAAACACTGATCAGATATAAAGTTGACTATGAGAGTGCTTATCAGTAGGCAATGGGATTATTGGTTATTTTAATTTGCTTCTTTAAACTTTCCTGTATTTTCAAGAAATTTTTACAAATCTCCTATTATAATATACAATTCAGGTTTAAGAATAAAATTCCACTTTTATGATCAGATTCCATAGTCCTAGAGTACCCTGCACTTAAGGGCGTTCTAAAAATAAGGCAAGCCAAGAAATGTAGAAACACAATCTATGTAAATAGTCACTGAAATAATAATTGTTTAGCCACTCACTGTCAAAGGTCCATCGCTTAAATTTGCTGCCATTAGAACTCGTTTGGCTCCTATTCTAGCACCAGCACCACTACTCTCTCTATCCCGTCCTTATATACTCAAGCCATATAGTTGCTAATGAATGCAATTTAATTATGTATACATGCAGTAAAATATTAAATAAAATCAGTAATATTCAGAGTCAGCTCATATTCACTGAGTGATTTGCCTAAGTATGCAATTTGCCCAGCAAACAGTAAGTACTAAATAAATGTTAGTTTCCATTTCTGTTTTTAATCTCATTTATTTCAAACTCTAGGCATATTTATAATCAGTGTTCTATTAGCAAAACAGGAAAAATTGTAAGTTTTTCAGACAGAAAGGGATTTATTACAGTAAATCACTTCTCTTAAAAATCACAGCATGCGATAAGACTTCCACTTCTGAGAAAGATTAAGTAGTGAGAACCTTTACCCTCCTGCCTACAACAACTTGAAAAAAACCCAATTAAATATATTGAATGTCAATTTTCAAAACATTGGACGTTGGCTAATGAAGGACAGTGATATCGGTGAGACAGGATAAAGATAAGATGAGACTTAGGAGGAACCAGCTTACTGCTTAGATTGAGCTTCCAGGCTGTGGGACAGGAACAAGCAACCCAGGGAGATCCTGGTGGTCACCCTGAAGTGAAGAGAGAGAGCTGGCAGTCCAGTCAGATGAAGGCAGCTGGAGTTCAGAGGGCAGAGCGCCAGAGAGGAATGAGATGGGGAGAGAGGGAGACAGACGGAGACAGAGACAGAGACAGAGACAGAGAGAGACAGAGACAAAGAGACAGAGAGACAGAGACAGAGACAGAGAGAGACAGACAGAGATTGATTCAGAGATCTACAGATGTCCCCCTTCAGTGTTTGGCAGAGTACTGGTTAGCAATTGCACGTGAGGAAACTACCCCAGGCCAAGGAAAGGACTACCCAAGAGAACTGAGAGGAACAGTCCTCAGGGCTCAAATGGGACTAGGGACAGTGTACAAATTATTGTACAGCCCACAAGGAAGCACACGCAGAGGGTTTTGCATCAGGAGTGGGGAAATATTAGCCCTAGACCAAGTACTACTCTGGTCCCACCTAACAAAGCTTAAAAGCAACACCCAAGAGTTTCAAACTCTGCTTAGCAGCTTATTAACAAGTTAACGCAGTATGTGTTTACCTTGACAATCTTTATGATATCCCTGTGTGTTTAGAATCTACTGTTTAAACGTGGGGTGTGTGTGTCACCTACTTTATCTCAGGGATTGCAGGCGGGAAGTGTGCAGGAAGTGATCTCAGATCATCGAGAACCTTCTATGGAAAGGAGCAGTGGTAACTGTGGCAGCCTGTATAACAGAGACTGTTCCAAATTAACTCCCTCATAGAAGGCAGTGAGTTTTAAAAGAGAAGTACTACAAATGTGCTATTTTGAATATTGCATAATTTTTTTGCATTTTAATGAGAAAATGTAACATAAAATAAAATTCTCCCTTTTAACCATTTTAAACTGTACCATTCAGTGGCATTAAATTCATTATCAGTGCAGCTATTGCCATTATCCATTTCCAGAACTTTTCACCATTTCAAACAGAAGGTCTGTTCCCATTAAACAATAACTCCCCACTCCTCCCTCTCCCAGCCCCTGGTAACCTCTATTCTACTTTCTGTCTCTATGAATTTGCCCATTCTGGGTACTTCATGTCAGGGGAATCATAAAATATTCGTCCTTTTGGTTCTGGCTTATTTCACTTGGCATAATGTTTTCAAGGCTCATCCACATTGTAGCATGTGTCAGAATTTTATTCTTTTTATGGCTGAATAATATCTCATTGCATACATATATCACCGTTTGTTTTTCCATTCATCTGTTGATAGACATGTGTTCTTTTACTTTTACCTATTCTGAATAATGCTGATACGAATAACGGTGTACAAGTATCTGTTTGAGCACCTGCTTTCAGTTTTTCCGATATACAATTAGCAGTGGAATTGCTGGATCATATGGTAATTCTATGTTTAACTTTTTGAGGAACCACAAAACTGTTTTCAACAGCAGCTACACAATTTTACCTTTCCACAACAATGTATGAAGGCTCCAGTTTCTCCATCCTCACCAACATTTACTTTCAATTTTTCACAATAGCCATCCTAATGTGTGTGAAGTATATATAGTGATTTTGATTTATGTTTCTCTAATGACTAATGATGTTTAGCATCTTTTCATGGACCTATGGGTAACTTGTGTATCTTCTTTGGGGAAATATATCCTTAAGTCCGGGGAAATATATCCTTAAGTCCTTTGTTTCCTTTGTCCATTTTTTAATTGAATTTAGTTTTTTGTTTAGTTGTAGAATGAAGCTTATACTTTCAAAACTTAAACCACATTAAACTTTTAGAACTTAGACTAACAAAAGACTTTGTTGAGGAAGAGTGTTTTAGCACTGTAGTTATTTAGAAAATCTAGGGTATGGTGATAATTAGAAGACCAACTTTTACTCGATTTTGTACTTGTATTAAAATTCTCTGCAGGCAATGGTCCTCTTTATCACCTGCACCAGGAGTGGACCACTGGACCACTCCCACTGACCTGCCCTTGGAAGGCCACTGCTCCACTCTGAGTTTTTTAGCAAAGAAGTGGTCTAATCAGCATTGGGTTTGTCCCTCCCAACATTATTTTTGTCCTTGGGAGTGCTAATGGTAACTTTTAATAGGGTGAGCATTTTGTACCTTGTGAGTAACTTCAGTTTACATCATACAACAGGGGTGCAACAAAGCCCATTATGAGGTAGGTGGCCAAGAGGTGATTTCTCTTCCTGACTTGCTTTGAGGAGGTTATCATAGTTGCTGTCCACACATCAAACCCTCTTCCCATCTGGGTTCTGGCAATCTAGACCCCAATGTCATTCCCCAACCCAAACAAATGCAGTAACACTACACCATTTTACTCCTTGTCCCTGACTCAGTGTTAGGAGGGAAATTTATCTTCAGTGCACAGTCCTGACCCAGGCCTGACCCAGTCCTGACCTCTACTGTCTGACTCACTGTGGACCTAAGGGTCTGGTCCCCAACCACCCAGGACCTCACATCCCTCCCTTCCCATGCACCTGCCTCTCCTCTTCCTTCCCTCCCTCCCCATCATCAGAAAATTCAGATAGACACACAAATATCACGTTTTCACAACTTGATTTTTATTTTGATCATAGCCATTGGTGTGAGATTCAGATTACTATATTGGTGTGAGATTCAGTCTTTGTGGTTGGCCATTTCTCAGAAACCAGGCATCTGGAGACACAATTCTAAGATCTTTGGCCTTTTCTATTCAGTTGCTGGCTTCACAGGTTATATGAAGTGGTGGGCTTCTCCAGGGTCTCTTGTTCTGGGACAGGTTGAGCTTGTCCCTTATTTTGATTCTGCCTCTTATTTTGATTCATTTTCTTACTTTGATTCAATTTCTTGTTAAGCATGGGCTTCTCCAGGGTCTCTTGTTCTGGGACAGGTTGAGCTTGTCCCTTATTTTGATTCTGCCTCTTATTTTGATTCATTTTCTTACTTTGATTCAATTTCTTGTTAGGCATATAGTAACAGGCCACCATTTTTGGTTTTCTGTCTGTTTTAAGTTTTTTAGACTGAGTGGCAGATGTTTGAATTTTTTTTCTTGAATTCCTTTGACAGGATCTTTTGACTTTCATGGTTGTCTTCGGTACCTAGAAAGGCAAGAGAGCCCAGAAGGGTATTAGTTTGGGGAAAGACGATAAGGACTGAATGGGAAGGGGAGGGCTTCATGAAAAAGGGGTTGTGGGGTGATGATTGGTTTTGAGCCAGGCAAGGGCAGGGTCGGGATCTTGGGCAGCAAAGTTAATGGAGAAGAGGAGGAGCTTGGTTAGAGTCATCTTACTTTGACACCATCTCTGGACCTTGGTTGACAGAGGGTCTTCTTCTCTTTGATCCTCAGACTGGATTTTACTGCAGCTGTTCTTGGCTCCTGTGGTTTCCTGCTTACCTTAGTCATGATGGTGCCAAGAACTGACCTAACCCAAAGCCTCTGCTTCTGACCTCCCTATATATACCCTCCTCAGACAATGAGGAGCCACACCCTTCAATTTGATTGGTCAGCTAGGCACTGCCCCAGCCAATGGTGGCTTAGGAGGCCTTAGACATCACAATGCACCACTTAGGACATCAACATGGGGTAGTGGATGCTGGGGAGGCCATGATATGGCTTTGATATCAAAGTACCACTTCTGATACCTCTGTGGGGGTGATTCTGTGAAGGTAAAGGTTCTCTGGTTGGACAAAAGGGGCTTTTCTTCAGCACCCCCCAAACAGCATTCCCAAACTGACCTGCTAACTCTCCTCATCACTCCATGTTCAATTCTGGAGGCTCACATGTCAAGGAGAGGATATTTTGTCTAGGTCATACCCCATGGCCACCCCTATTCCACGGTTCATTCTGTTTTCTCTCACCCTTCACCATTACCTAGTATTTTGTATAGCTTACCCTCTGAGCTAATATGGCCATATTTAAGTCTTGGTAAAGGTGTGGATCATTCTACTTCTCTCCTATGAGAAGGGATAAAATTAAAAAATAATTACAAGTGTTGACAAAGATGCAAAGCAACTGGAAACCATATACAATGGTACAATCAATATAAACTGGAACAATCATTCTAGAAAACCCTTTGGTAGTCTCTCTTTAAAAAAAACAACTTTATTGTGGTATAATTTCTGTACAGTAAACTACACACATTTCAGATGTACAATTGGTTAAATTTTGATAGATGAATATACCTATGAAATCACCACTGCAATCAAAATGCCTAACATTTCCATCACTCCCCAAGAGGTGTAAATTTCGAACTCCCAATTTATCCCTTCCCACCCCTTTTACCCACTGATAACCATAAGTTTGTTTTCTATGTCTATGAGTCTGTTTCTGTTTTGTAAATAAGTTCATTATGTCATTTTTTTAGATCCCACATATAAGTAATACCATATGGTATTTTTCTTTCTCTTTCTGGCTTACTTCACTTTATCCATTTATCTGTTGAAGGACATTTAGGTAGCTTCTAAGTCTTGGCTATCGTAAATAGTGCCACTACGAACATTGGGGTGTATGTATCTTTTCAAATTGGAGTTTTCTCCAGATACATGCCAGGAGTGGGATTGCTGGATCATATGGTAAGTCTATTTTTAGTTTCTTTAAGGAAACTCCACACTGTCCTCCACAGTGACTGTACCAATTTACATTCCCACCAGCAGTGTAGGAGGGTTCCCTTTTCTCCACACCCTCTCCAGCATTTATGGTTTGTGGACTTTTAAATGATGGTCATTCTGACTGGTGTGAGGTGATACCTCATTGTAGTTTTGATTTACATTTCTCTAACAATTAGCGATGTTGAGCATCTTTTCATGTGTTTGTTTGCCATCTGGATGTCTTCTTTGGAGAGATGTCTATTTAGGTCTTTTGCCCATTTTGATTGAGTTGCTAGTTTTTTTTTTAATATTAAGCTATATGAGCTGTTTGATAGTTTCTTTAAAGGTTGAATAAACCTTCATAAGATCCATCCATTGCACTCTTAGGTATTTATTCAAGGACAATGAAAACATATCTATACAAAGACTTATAGGAATATTCATAGTAGCTTTATTTGTAATAAACAAAAAACTGGAAACAATGCAAATATCCATCAATAAGTGTGTGAGTGAAAAAGGTATAGCCATATAATGGAATGGTACCCAGTAATACAGAGTAATGAAATCTGATATCTGCCATAACACTGATGAATCTCAAAAAACATTATAGTGAGTGAAAGGAGCCAAATAAAAAACGGTACATACTGTAAAATTCCACTTACATAAAACTTTAAAATGTACACTAATCTGTAGTGACAGAGAGCAGATCATTAGCTTCCCCACAGTGGGGGACAAAGAGGAGTGAGAGGGTGAATTATATCAGTCATAGCTCAATAAAATTGTTAGAACATCAACAAGCAAGCAAACAAACAACAACAACAACACAGCACTGGAAGGGATAAAGAGAGTGAAAGTCAATGCCACTAGCTTTCATTTTCACATCTGCAGAGGCTCACGGAGATGCTGCTACCCAGGGTTATGGATGAGAAGGCAGCCACTGCCCACTTTCTAGATTTTCTTCAGCCTCAAAGCAGATTAAGTGGCTGGGGAATGCAGAGATGGCAACAACAACAGAAAAACATGCACTGGGGGATCCTACAAGTCTGCTTGCCACTTACAGAGGAAGCAGAATGGATTTTGCTTCATCTGTTTCCAAACCTCACACGAATGCGTATTACCATATGGAACCTGAGACTATATGGACCTCATCTGGCAAGGCAATCTGGTGCACGTATCCCAAGTTTTCATCCTCTGAAACAGAGGGGAAGATAGAAGGGGGATGTAAAAGCTTACTGAATGTCAGCAAGGAATATCAGGCCCAGCATAGGATTGGGAGGACTAACGAAATTTATAGGGGTCTATGTCAGAAGCAAAAGCACTGCTCAGACAAAGCAAGGGAACAAGCGCAACATTGCTTTTGCACTTACCTGTTTAACTTTGGATAGCCAAGGCCATCTGCTTACAGGTGACTATAATTTATCATCCAAGCTGGAATACTTTCTTAAAGTGAAATCGGAGATATTAATAATCACACCTGGATAAACAAGAGTAAAGTGGGATTATGGTGGGCAAACGAGGACAAATAGTCAAGCTATCTAAATGAGAGAAGCCCCCTGGATCAGCTATTTTATATTGTAGGTAGGACTCAGCATTCTCCAAGCCACACTTTGACAGATAGTCATAAAATGTCTCTGGGGTTCTCTGGAAATCCTCTAATTGCAGTCAGTCTTGGACAAAATTGTTTCACCTAAATTATCACTTTGGAAGAGAACTAGTTTGAAATACTCCACCTCTTATTTATGACTTATTCACATGCCATTATTTAGGCCAAATCTGGTCAGAGAGAGCAGTAAGGACTTTGTGATGAGACCTGAGAGGCTACTGCTTTGAGAAAATGTAAGCTGATGTGAACTTGCCTCATACCTTTGAGACAACAAACTACAGAGTTAACCAGAGAAGAGAAATTAATATTGAGGATCTGGGCGGGGGGAATTTGGGGATGGTCCTCAGAAACAGATCAGTCTTCTATTTATTTAAGCACTCTGCTAACATCTTCTTGGTACAATCTCTTAACAACACTATAACGCAAGTAGTATTAACCCAGTTTCATTAAGTGAAAGAAAGAATAATCGCAGAGATAAATCATCTGCTCAGGTTCACACAGCTAATGGTGAGTCAGGAATTGAGCATCACTTTTTGACTCTAAGCTTAATGCTGGTTTCACTAGGGCCATGGTGTCCTTAGTATAGTCATTTACCAGAAATTTCTTTCATTTCTCATAATATAGAGACAAATCTGAGTATGGACCTGTTCGGAGATTCATGAAACTGAATTTATAGCTGAATCTAGAATTTTTTTAAATGTTCTCTTGCAAAGATCATAATGAAAGTAGACACTGACACATCATGGTCTATTGTGTTTTAGGCAGAGTTTCTCAAACTTTAACGTGCTTACAGATCACATGAGGATCTTAATAAAATGCAGATTCTGTTTCAGTAGGTCTGGGGGAGGGCCTGGGATTTTGCATTTCTAACAAGCTCACAAGTAATACTGATACTTCTGGTCCATGGACCACTCTTTGAATAGCGAGGTTATAAAACAGGAATTGATCTGGGTCATTCTTTAATGTTTTGAGAAAGTTAAATTCTGCCAGTGACAGGAAGACTCATTTGTGACTGTTTTGTTTCGCCTCTAATGCAGACCCATTGGTATTAGAGCAAACCTCCAGTATATCTGAGTTTTTTATTTTAATATGTCTGGAACTTGGCTGTTGATCATTCTTGGATTGTGTTAGTTCTGGGTGGGGGTAAGCAGCATATGATGTTGGATATATTGTTCCTCAAGACATGCACCTTTTCATTTTTCTTATATTAATTCTTATGTCAAGGTATATGTTCTGTTTTCTCTCTTGTACTTACGTGAGTGACACAGCTGACCACTATGTTCTTTGAGTGGGCACAGTCAATGTAAATATTAAAGAATGATATCTATCTATACATTTGGATCACTGCAGTTATATGCGAAATCGACATTGGACCTCTTCAACTGAGAGAATGGCTGAACCATTTCTTGAGTAACTCTCAAGTATTAATGCACTTCCAGTGGGGCTGTCTTCCTTTTTGAGATGACATTATGTATAACTGAATACTGAAAGAATTAGAAAAGTAAACTGGAGAACATTCTGTCCTTTGATTTATTTAGGGCTCTTGGGGGCCTTGCTAGGAGTGACTGAAGTCTCCTTTAGATGATTAAACATACTTACACAATTCAATTCTTTAAGGACAATCCCTGAAGAAGATCATCAAGAAAATGATAGCAATCTTAAATCAGGAGTAAAAACAAATGGCATTTTGGAGAGTGTGAGAAAAATTGAAGGATCTAGAGAAATGAGTTCTGTTTAGAGAGAGAAAAGGGACAGAATGAATATATAATTACTGGAAAGCCTCTTCCTTCTCTTCTTCCAATGATAAAAAAAGCAACAAAACCAAAATTCAATCTCCGGGTAAGCAGTAGGCAGAGGTCATGATCTGACTTCACACCCTACCAGCTACTCCCTCTTACTCTGTTTCTCCTTTACACGAATCACTTCATTACCCTGAAAGGATCTTTAAAAAGTCTTGACTCACTCTGGAAGTCTTTCCAATTGTGGTCTGAGCAACTAATATTAGGAATTACTTTTTGAAAATAATATTTAACCTCTTGGAAACAAAGAACATTCTGAAAAATTGACATTGCTTGTGTCATTTAATACTCATCCCCTTACAAATATCGTACTACGCAAAAGGCAGCACTCAGAAACACAGCTGCCCTTGTCTGCAATGATTTGCCCACAGTTTCTAATAAATGTCATTGATGCTTTCATTAAGAAAACATTAC